ACGAGTTGCCGCTGCCTCTTGCTGCTAGACTGTGGCCGCGACCCTGCCAGACCACACCCTCCCCGTTAGATCACACTCTCTGTCTTAGGTCACACCCTCCCCTGCCAGACCACACCCTCCCCGTTAGATCACACTCTCTGTCTTAGGTCACACCCTCCTCTGCCACACCACATCATCCCTTGTTAGGTCACACTCTCTGTCTTAGGTCACACCCTCCCCTGCCACACCACATCATCCCTTGTTAGGTCACAGTCTCCGTCTTAGGTTACACCCTCCCTGTTAGGTCACACCCTCCCCTGTTAGTCCACATTCCTTTTCAAGCCACATTCTCCCATGCTAGGCCATACCCTCTTGGCCGTACACACACACACACACACACACACACACACACACACACACACACACACTACTACTAGAATAGAACATTTCCCCTAAATTATAAGAGTCTTAGACAAGTGAGTGAGTGTTGGGAGTGCATGCATGTGTGTGTGTGTGTGTGTGTGTGTGTGTGTGTGTGTGTGTGTGTGTGTGTGTGTGTGTGTGTGTGTGTGACGGCTGCTGTAGGTGTCCCAGGCAGTGTCTTGAGAACAACACCGTCGCTCCTGCCGAAGGTGTAGTGTTTGGGTGAGGAACTGAGGTAGTGTCGCTTTACTTCTAGTCATCATAAACATCATATATACAATGTCTTAACTGATTTACATGGTATTAAATGATGATACTCACTTATAAATGCTCTAATGGAATACTTTTTGGGTGTGTTTGTGGTAAATACTAGAACTAATCTTTTTGTTGTGTGGTGGATCGTTTTCAACCAGCGATCGTCTAACACCTTGACCACAAACTTAATGTCTTAATATATTCTACTCGCTAACGTACGTACTGACAGGTAGTGTACTGATCAAAGGTAATGTTATACGTACCTCCGTGAGAATGTATAAAAAAAAACAAAACTTCTAGTTATTTTTACGAACTCATGCTTGTCTGCACACCAGCCAGTTCATTTTATATTTACCCTACACGATCCTCGAGGTGGTCAGTCTCAACAGTCTGTGTACTTTACTATTTTTCTCACTTGGATGACGATGTTTCTTTGGCTGGTGATATTTTTGCCAACTTATCATCGTTAGTTTTTTTTTTTTTCCATTCAGCGTCACGGCTCTTGGTGTTACATCCCACGGAAAGAATCATTTTGTTAGGAAGCATCAACTTAACGTGAGGCGTTCGGTGTTTGGGTATATGGGTGGGAGTCATGATTTCAGATACGAGTTTATTTATTTTACACGATGTTATGATTGATAAAGAGATGTATAGAACTGTGAAGGTTGTCACGTAAATTTTTTCTTTTTTCAGGTACAAGATAATTTATAATTGTCATCAGATTATTTCATAGGTATCTGTAGTTTTATTTAGTTACTGGTGTTATAATTACCTACAAAAATACAGTCTCACATCACTGGTTAGATTACCTTCGTGTTATTGAAGAAGATAATGGTTAATATACTTGGGTCAGATTATAAGGTAATCGTTTGTGTATAAGCTGAGGATCTGTCATTGTCAACGCCTTAAACCGTCTGAAAGTATCATACAGATTTATTGATCAGTTCTATAAGGGAGTTTCAGGGCTAAACATGACATTAATGATTGTTGGTTAAAAGTGAGATGGGTCACACCTTTCCCTTAGTTTATTGTGTATTACAAGGGGTCTCCCCATCCCATATCTGGCTGCTATTATTATTATTATTATTATTATTATTATTATTATTATTATTATTATTATTATTATTATTATTATTATTATTATTATTATTATTTTTATTATTATTTTTATTTTTATTATTATTATTTTTATTTTTATTTTTGTTATTATTTTTATTATTATTATTATTATTATTATTATTATTATTATTATTATTATTATTATTATTAATATTATTATTATTATTATTGTTTTTATTATTATCCTTTATTCGCTGTTTTCTTCCACTCTGTTTACCATACTTCACCCCCTCACTACCCCGCCCCTCCCCTCACTACCCCACCCCTCCCACTCACTACCCTCCCTCCCACTCACTACCCTCCCTCCCACTCACTACCCTCCCTCCCTCAGCATAGCTGCAGACCGGGCCTAGGATTAGGCCGCCCTCTTCCACAAACTCCATGATTGATGCCCAGTAAATTGATGTATCTAGCCTCCCTCACCTCCCCACCCCCCTGCCTCCCTCCACCTCCCCCACCCCTGCTGCCCTCCTCACCTCCCCCACCCCCTGCTGCCTCCCTCACCTCCACCCCCACCCCCCTGCTGCCTCCCTCCCTCCCACCCCACCCCCCTGCCTCCCTCCCTCCCCCACCCCCTGCTGCCTCCCTCCCCCTCTCCCCCCCACCCCCTGCCTCCTCCACCTCCCCACCCCTGCCTCCCTCCACCTCCCCCCCTCCCCTGCTGCCTCCCTCCCCACCTCACCCCCTGCTGCCTCCCCTCCCTCCTCCCCCCCCCTGCCTCCCCTCCCACACCACCAGGGCAGTTGATTGACTCACCACCAATACCTACTGCTGGTCGACTCCTCACCTCTAACCTAACCTAACCCTAACCTAACCTCATCACTAAATGCCCCAGTGAAGAGTTGAGGGGGATCCTGACTTACACCAGGTGTTGCCTTACACATATAGGTGCTGGAACACTTGTGGAAGTCACCTCGTCTCATGTGTGTGTGTGTGTGTGTGTGTGTGTGTGTGTGTGTTTGTGTGTGTGTGTGTATGTTTGTGTGTGTGTTCTCTCTATATCATGTCAGTGTCTTCCCTAATTTTATTCTTCTATCACCTGACTGAGTGTTCACAGTTGAAAAGGCGTGTTCAAAGTGTTCAACTACCGAGGCAAATGTTCATAAGTGAGCAGGAACACTATATTCTGATGACAAATATCATAGACGTTAAACATGTTCATTGTTCAAAACTGACGAATATTGAACAAATAAAATACCCCAAAACTTTGGTTCATATCCAGTAGTTGTTCAATTGACAGAGTATTACTTGTTCACTATATCAAAATGTTTGATTGTGAATTTTAAAGTGGATTTTTAGTCATGAAATTTAAAGGTATGTTGTCAGTTGAGCATCAGGCGGAGACCTACTGAATGGTGGGAGACACAGCTTCTGTTGGTCTGAGGAGGAGAGGTGGTGGGGAGGGTGTGTGGTGGGTGGGGTAGTGTGGTGGTGGGGGTGAGGTAGTGTGGTGGGGTGACGGGGTAGTGTGTTGGGAGGGTGTGTGGTGTGGTGGGGGAGGGGGAGTGTGGTGGGGTGAGGGGAGTGTGTTGGGGAGGGTGTGTGGGAGGGTGTGTGTGGGGGTGTGTGCTGGGGAGGGGTGAGTGTGGTGGGGAGGGGGTAGTGGGGAGGGTGTGGTGGGGAGTGTGGTGGTGGGGTGTGAGGGAGTGGTGTGGTGGGGTGAGGGGGTGGTGTGGTGGTGGGGTGGGGGGTGTGGTGGTGGGGTGGGGGTGGTGTGGTGGGGTGTGTTGGGGAGGTGTGTTGGGGGTGTGTGCTGGGGAGGGGGGGTGGTGTGGTGGGGGAGGGTGGTGTGGGGTAGTGTGGTGGGGAGGGTGTGGTGGGGTGGGGTGGTGTGGTAGGGGTGGGGGGTGGTGTGGTGGTGGGGGTGGGGGTAGTGTGGTGGTGGGGGTAGGGGTAGTGTGGTGGTGGGGTGGGGGTAGTGTGGTGGTGGGAGGTGTGGTGGTGGGGGAGGGGGGTGTGGTGGTGGGGTGGGGTGGGGAGTGTAGTGGTGGGGAGAAAATGGTGTGGTGGGGTGGGGATAGTGTGGTGGTGGTGGTGGGGTGGGGGATAGTGTAGTGTGGGGAGAAAAGTAGTGTGGGTGGTGGGGTAGGGATAGTGTGGTGGGGGGTAGTGTGGTGGTGGGGAGGAGGTAGTGGTGTGGGGGAGAGGTTGGAGCTAAGAGCTTGGTTGGTGTGAGAGTGAGTGTATTGAGTGCAGTGTGAAGTGTGTTGAGTGTGTGTTATGTGTTGAGTGTGTTAAGTGGGGTGAGGGAGTGAGTGTTGGAGGTGGGTGTTATGTGTTGAGTTATGTGATGAGGGTGGGCGTGTTGAGGTGGGTGTGATGAGGTTAAGTTTGTTAAGTGATGAGGTGTGGTGAGGGGTGGGTGTGTTAAGTGAGGTGGGTGTGTTGAGTGTGTTGAGGGGTGGGTGTGATGAGGTGTTGGAGTGGGTTGAGTTTGTTAGTGTGATGAGGGTGGGTGCGTTGAGGGGTGGGCGTGTTATGTGATGAGTGTGGTGTGTTAAGTGATGAGTGGGTGATTGTGATGAGTGGGGTTGAGGTGGTGTGATGAGGTGTTGAGTGGGTTGAGTTTGTTAAGTGTGTTGAGGGGTTAATATACTTGAGTTTTACTGTGTGTAATAATAATAATAATATATAATAATAATAATGCGGTTTATTAATAGAGTTGCAGCTGGTGGCTGAAAATATACAGACTTACATTTGATTTAGACATAATGATATAATATGCATTGAATACATTTACAGGGCTGTACAGTACATAAATCAGAGTTGTTTATTATTTTAACAATAGATGGGATGGTGCTGTTCTTATATCTATCGGTGCGGGGCTCTATGGGCTGTATTTTGTTGTAGTGGCGGACTGCGCGAGGTGGGTGGGGACTGCAGGTGGCAGGAGGTGGCGATGACGAGGGTGGTGCAGTAGTCCGCTGCCAAACCTTCCAGTGCTTGGTGTGTGTGTGTGTGTGTGTGTGTGTGTGTGTGTGTGTGTGTGTGTGTACCAGTAACAGATATGCGTCTTACAGGTGTCTGACAGTTGTCTTAACAGGTGTTTTAACAGGTGTCTTAACAGGTGTCTCAACAGGTGTCTCAACGGTGTCTATGTGTGTTAACAGGTTACAGGTGTCTAACAGGTTTCTTAACAGGTGTATAACAAGTGTCTTAACAGGTGTCTTAACAGGTGTCTGACAGGTGTCCTAACAGGTGTCTAACAGATGTCTCTCCTTCACAGATGTGGCACCAGTGTTCCTGGAGCCAGTGACGAACGTGACGGTGTCGGTAAGTGACGCCTCCTCGCCTGCACCGTGGACCATCTGGGACAACACAAGGTGAGTGTGACGGAGAGGAGGAGGAGGTGAGGACGGAGAGGAGGAAGAGGAGGTGAGTGACGGAGAGAAGGGAGGAGGAGTGTGATGGAGAGGAGGAGGAGGGGTGAGTGTGACGGAGAGGAGGAGGGAGGAGGTGAGTGTGACGGAGAGGAGGAGGAGGAGGTGAGTGTGACGGAGAGGAGGAGGAGGGGGTGAGGGACGGAGAGGAGGAGGAGGGGTGAGTGTGACGGAGGAGGAGGAGGGGTGAGTGTGACGGAGAGGAGGAGGGGTGTGACGGAGAGGAGGAGGAGGGAGGAGGTGGGTGACGGAGAGGAGGAGGAGGGGTTATCATAGGAGGAGGAGAAGGAAGGAGAGATAGAAATAAAACAAGGAGGAAGAGAAGAGGAGAAGACCTTAAGAATGTAACAACAGTAGCTCACACGTGACCTCTCTGTGACCCGTCTGTGACTTCTCTGCGTGACCATAACCTAACCTAAACCTAACCTAAACCTAAACCTAAACCTAAACCTAACCTAACCTAACCTAACCCAACCTAAAGCTAACCTAACCTAACCTAACCTAACCCAACCCAACCTAACCCAACCTAAACCCAACCTAAACCTAAACCCAACCTAAACCCAACCTAAAGCTAACCTAACCAAACCTAAACCTAACCTAAACCTACCTAAACCTACCTAAACCTAACTAAACCTAACTCTAACCTTAACCTAAACCTAAACCTAACCTAACCTAACTCTAAACCTAGAGGACAGACAGGTCGTAGGGTTAACAGTACTGGTGGTCAGGTAGGTGAAGAACAAGGCCCCTCAGGTAGACATATTGTTTATTGGTTTGTGAGTGTTAGACTTGCATCACCAGGTGTGTCTCATAAGGTTTCCGATCACCATTACTACTATCACACTTATCACCATCCATCACCATCTAAAGCCACCATCACCATCTCTAACCCACCACCACTATCACCACCACCACCATCACTACCACCATCACTACCACCACCACCATCACTACCACCATCACTACCACCACCACCACCACCTTGAGAGTGGAAGTGACGTCAGCAACCTATAAATCCGATTTGACATAGACCAACCATGTGACCCGAAGTCTTGTGGCCCACTCTGACAGATTGTGTGTGTGTGTGTGTGTGTGTGTGTGTGTGTGTGTGTGTGTGTGTGTCCTATACAACAGGAAACTATGTTAATACTTACATACTTATGACACGACTTTGCTGAACAGATGAATATAACGAGAGTTCACCTGGATCAGTGTATACTAATGTGACTATCTCATCTCCTCTCATGTACTATACAAAGGAGATTAGGTTAGGTTAGGTTAGGTTAGGTTAGGTTAGGTTAGGTTAGGTTAGGTTAAGTTAGGTTAGGTTAGGTTAGGTTAGGCTGGTTGGCTCTGGTGCTGTGACTGTCTAGCAGGGAGGGCAGAGGTGGCTTATACTGGCAATACTCTCATTGACTTAGCATTACCAGGACACAACTCAAGAGTGAATAAAATAAGTGTCAACAAACGGAGGTCGGGAGCCGCACTGGAGTCAAGGAAGGAAGAGGAGGAGGCTGACTGGACCAGCTCATGGGGACGTACTGGCTCCTGGGTCTTGGGAGCGACAACCTGACGTAGGAGTCACACAGGTACACGGGTAACTAGGAGACACAAGACACCCTCACGATACCTATCTGAGTCCGTCACAAGGCCCCTACAGAGAACAAAGGGGTGGAAGGTGTTGTGGACCCATGGTCGTACGTAATCTATATCAAAACTCTGATGTTAAGAGTTAAAGTCTTTCATTATTGGTATATACATTAAGTTTGGCGTTATCATTATTTACATCGCCACTGACCGCGCGTGAGGGGGTGTTGGCGGGAGGTACATAGCTGAGAGAGTGTTTATAGAAATGATCCCTTATGTGCGGGAGAATATGAGCTACTTTTTATGTCGGTGTGTCAGTGCAGGTTCTCATGCACATCAACGTGGGATCTTACTTTCTTTGTTTTCCTCAGTAAAAAATATTTGTTTACAATGACGTACCAAGTCATGACGATATAACCACCAATCAACCGTCTCATAGAGTGTGACGTCATTCACGGTGACGACCAAACACAGCTCGTCTTGTGCAGAACTATTAAATTTATACCCAGCGACACCTCTGGTATCATAATGTTATCTCACAAGGATTACAAGCGTATAAGTATGTGTGTTAAGGAGATAATTATAAAATAAGAGTGTCAGAGTTTTGTTTTGTCATCGGCATAATTACGTCAGGTTTGTGAGATCACTGCGGCAAAAATCCTTGTGGGAATAAGCTAGGATTTGTATCATTGTCCCGTCGTCACGCCCAAACTCTTCCCGCCGCTGCTGCCAAGTGTTTGATGACTCACCCAGTCTTGGTTACCATGTCTCTCAGGTTTATCTGCCGTTGTGCTCAAGTGAACAGTATATTCATATTCTCTCTCTCTCTCTCTCTCTCTCTCTCTCTCTCTCTCTTTTTTTTTTTTTTTTTTTTTTTTAGACCAGGTAGGTATAAGGTACAGCCAGGTAACCCTACCTCATTAGTTGTCGTAATTGTCTTGTAATCGTTAAATGAGCTGTAATCGTTAACTGAAATCGAGAAATGAGCTGACATTCATATGGACAGAGAAGGTTGGAGACTGCATGGAGATATAATGAGGAGACTTACTAAGGGTTTGTCATTTAACACACACACACACACACACACACACACACACACACACACACACACACACACACACACACAAGACACACACACACACAGACACACACACACACCTCCTCGCTCCTCTCTTCAATGTTCACTTCTCAATACATTAAATTTGTTTTCATTTTCCATTTTTGTTTTCAGGTCTAACTAACATTCTTTCTTTCATCTTCCTTTAGTTTTATTTATTAACATTCACTCATGACTGTCTTCTACTACACATTCTTCCAACTCATTTATAAACATTATTTTCTTGTTCTGTCACTGTGTAGGTGAGGTGTAGATGGTATGGGTGTAGGTGTGGCATGGTATGGGTGTAGGCATGGTATGGTAGGTGTGGTATGATGTAGGTGAGGCATGGTATGGGTGTAGGTGGTGTGGGTGTTGGGTAGGTGTGGGTTAGTAGGTGAGTGAGGTGGTTAGGTGTGTGAGTGAGGTGTGTGTTGGGTGTGTGAGAGGTGTAGGTTAGGTGGGTGAGGGGTGTGGGTTAGGTGTGGGGTGAGAGGTAGGTTAGGTGGGGTGAGTGGGGTGTGGGTTGTGTGGGGTGAGTGAGGTAGGTTGGTGTGGGGTGAGTGGGGTGTAGGTTAGGTGTGGGGTGAGGGGTGGGTTAGGTGTGGGTGGTAGGTTAGGTGGGGTGAGTGGGGTGTAGGTTAGGTGTGGGGTGAGTGGGGTAGGTTAGGTGTGGGTGAGGGTGTAGGCTTAGGTGAGGTGGACGTGGGAAGAGTAACACAGGGACGGAGTGTTGACCAAAGAAGCTGATTTAGTGTAATTGATGTTAATTCAAAGAAAGTCATTCGTTCACCGTTACCATTAGTGTTCTTGTTTGTTACCTTGAGGTGTATAATGCATCGTTCTCTGTTAACACACACAGATGGTTGTCCCTCGTGTAACGTGGATGGCCAGCCCTAGGGCCACCAAGGCGTGAATTTGTTTAAGATGTAGAAGCTGTCGCCAACACAACAACCACACCCTGAGTTAACGAGTTGGTGACCCAGTGTCATGCAATAGTCCAGAAGACGGACAATCGCCAACTGCACTGGCTAACCATTACCCTGGAACACGATCCGCAAATCGATTAATATCCAGGTTCCCACTACTACTGGGATAGACAGAGGCAAATGGCAAAGAAACCTGATAGTTCACCCTGCCCGGGGATCGAACTGATCTGTCGCTTGCGAAGCGAGGATGCTGACCATTACACCACAGGTCGCCACGCACACGCACACACACACACACGCACACACACACACACACACACACACACACACACGCGCACACACACACACACACACACACACACACACACACGCACACACACACACACACACACACACACACACACACACACACACACACGCACACACACACACACACACACACACGCACACGCACACACACACACACACTCATCATTTTCTGTCATTGCTTCAACAAAAATTCTCCATATCTAACAACAACATTTTATGGTAATTTTTCTCTTACAATTTTCCTAAGAGAACATCAAGACATATTGTGAAGAAGATCTGACAACAAGTTTAACCAGAGAAGGCAAAAGAAATTCGGTTAAGGAGAGGAAAGAAGCCGGACCCAGGAGCGAGACGGAGGCTTAGGTTACAAGCGGGTATTTACATGCAGAGGCGCTTCCAACCACCTCGTTACGCCAGCAGAACAACGCTATTTCACTCAGGCACCAACAACCCGCTAAGTATATGGAAATGTTCGGTTCTAGCTTTCCAATTAGGGCGGTGGTCGTTATGTGTCGGCGCGCCTTGTGTGTATTAGTCATCCCGTAGAAGTTGGTGTTTACTCGTGCATTCGGCCCCACCTCCCCCGTCCTGGACCAATCACCGTGAAGCACCGCTCAAACGTCTCCCACTTAAAATGCAGACTCCATTATGCAGAGTTCCTTAATCCCGGGCAAAGGGTAAAGTAGCTTAAAAACGCTACAGAGGCTGCTTTAAGTGCCCGACACGCCCGCTCTGATACACCGTGTACACTGTGCCGTCTGTGTGTGTGTGTGTGTGTGTGTGTGTGTGTGTGTGTGTGTGTGTGTACATCTCATGCCCACCCTCATGCACATGTACACTGTATACCTTCTGTGGGTGTGTGTGTCCTCTCTCTCTCTCTCTCTTCCCATCTCCCTTTCTTTGTTCTCCTTCCCTGTTTCCTCCACTCTCCTCTATCTCTCCTTCTTCCTCTTTCTGTTTATATATTCCACTCTCCTTTCCTGACCCTTCCTTCTTTCTCATCCATCCTTATATCCTTTCCC